CTCTTCGTGATCAAGGATAGTGGTACTACGGCGTATTAACTCTCCCTCGCATTTTTCTAAATCCCGTATAAGGTGACGGATTTTTTTCTCATTGACACGATTTATGTCTACCTCGCGATTTAACTCCTCCCGTAATTCGATATTCGATTGAGCAAGTTGCACGAATGCCGGATCTAGCGAATTATTTCTTTCCATTTATATTCTGAGAGTAAAAATGACTCAACCTTTGATCTATCGACTTTGTCTCTTGACTTATCTCTTGACATAATTTTTTACTATAATGAATAATATCGAAATGAGTAGGTCCTTAGACCATGCTTCGCATAAATTAAGCGAGCCTATTATTAGAATCGATTATCCTACTGAGGAGATAAACTTAATCTGTTCATTGCTTTTTTACCGTCCTACTGGCTATCATTCCAATGTAAAAGCTTTAAGAGACGCATGTAAAAAAGAAGGATATAATTTCTCGTATAAAAGAGTTCGTGATTGGCTCATAAACCAGAATGGATGGCAAAAGTATGCTCCGTCGCCGAAAAATACTCCACGGGTAAGTTATGGAAAAATTTCACGTCCAAACTGTGTACATATGTGTGATTGGTTGCGCCTTACGAATGATACCATTAATAAAAAGACATATAAATGGGCACTTACTGTCATAGACGTTGCATCTCGTTTTAAATACGCTGTTCCTCTAACTTCAAAAAACAGTTCAGAGGTAGCCAAGGCCTTTAAGAAAATTTATGACAACCCGAATATCCCTCTTACCTGGCCTGATTTATTACAATCTGACGGTGGTAGAGAATTTATGGGTGAAACCTCAAAAATAATGGAAGCACATAATGTTACAATCCGAGTTATAGGCCCGTATTCTCATCGAGGTCTTGCAATCGCAGACAGGTTTTGTAAGACATTAGCAGAAATACTGTACAAAGTTCAATCCGCCATTGAAACTATATCCAGAAACCCTAAATTAATAAGGGCATGGGTTAAGCATTTACCAAAAGTTCTTGAATATCTGAATAATTATCCAACACGACTTATACGAGCGCCAGGATCAAAGAAATGGGGATTAGCGCCTGTGAAGGCAATTAGATTGGATAGGGTGGAGTCTAGACCATCTACAAAATACAAACGTTCAGTTGGTAAAGACGAAGAAAAATTAAAAAAGGGGGATACCGTTCGTTACTTACTCGCTAATGCGGAATGGGAAGGGGGTATGGAAAATCAAAGGCGGGCAACGGATGAAATTTGGAGCCCTTCTTTACATAAAATCCGCAAAATCGTGGTAACGAAAAACGAACCAGTTTTATATTATTTAGATGGCGAATTTGCACCTACACGTGGGTTTGTACTTGAGGAGCTCATGCTTGTGAATATTGACACACTTCAGTATCCACCCCAGAGTATATTGGAAGGAAACACTCGCTCCAGGTCTGTTAATTTCATCCGTATTATTAATAAAATAGCTAAGGCGCAAGCTTATGTTGAGAAGCGCGGCGGGGAGTGTCTTGGTAAAACTAATCAAATAAATGGTTACGATGTATATACCTGGACATGTGGACCCCATCAATGGTATGCACCTTATAAAATTCAGAAGCGGAAATTCGAATGGTGCCCAGTTTGTTTTCACTATACCGATGAAAGACGGTGTAGATATATTTTTGAGGATCTGTTAGGTAAGAAATTTCCATCTTGTAAACCGTCATTTTTGAATGGGATGCAATTAGACGGATATAATGAAGAATTAAAATTGGCATGGAAATTTAACGGGGTTCAACATTTTCATCAGAATGCGATGTTCCATAAGCAAGGCAAGGTAGACTTAGATAGTTAACAGACACGAGATCAAAAAAAGCGGAATATATGCAAGGAGCAAGGTATAGATCTTATTGAAATACCATATGACACAGATATTGAAGCATACATTTGATACACATTGGAGAAGAAGGGGTACTTGACTAATTCCAATTCTTAATGCAATCAGTATAATTATCTATTTATATAAAAACAAGTTTTTGACGAAAGATGTTATATTGTGTATTTGCCATAGATGAAGTTAAACCCTCAGATAGCCCAGCATGGCCCTTTCACATTGTAATTGCAGGGTCTAGCAACTCGGGTAAGACCAATATGATTTTAAACTTGCTAGTAATGCCCAAATTTTATTACATGTTTAAGAAGAAAAGGAGTCTAAAATAGGGGAACGCAATGTTAAATGTAACAATGTAATTCTTGTAGGACACCATTTAAATGAACCAAAATATGGAATCGTTCGAAATTTTTATAAATATCTTGCACAAGACAAATCAAAGTCTTATTATGAAGATGTCACATTTTCTACACTCCTGATAGAATCCCAGATCCCAAAAAGTTTAATGCTAAAAGAAGTATGTTAGCAAATATTCAAAGACCTTTACTCTGACCCTCCAGCTATATAGAAAAAAATTATTCCATTTTTCACCCGAGGTTGTCATGAGAATATTTCCTCGATTTATGTTGCTCAAAAATTCCACAAAATTCCAATAGATATTCATGAAAATGCTACTCACATTGTTCTCTTTAATAGTGGGGGCTCTATTCAAAAACTTGCAGATATTGTAAGTCCTTACATATTACACTGATGTAAATCCATGAAAAGCTTCAAAAATTATTGATGGCTATTTGAGACAAAAAAAGTTTATAGTTATACAGTATGGGAAGAAAAAACTTGCCCTTCGTAATTTTGTAATAACTCAGCAACCATCAATGCAAATTATTTCATTAATAGCTCATTTAAATCTGTTTTATTAAAAGAAATTAAAAATTAATTCGTTCACCACCTTGTTCAATAATTGCTTCACACCGTCTTTTCATTGAATCTATTGAATTTTTATAATAGTTTCTGGAATATTATCCCACTCCTCGACCATAAACCGCTGCAAGTCATCAAGATTTTTGGTTGCCGTTTTTCTTAACAAGGTTTTCTATGGCGTTAAGGTCTGGACTATTGGACGGCCAGTCAATGACCTCAGGCATGTTTTCTCGAAGAAATGCTGAAGCAACACGGCTAGTGTGCTTAGGACCATTGTCTTGCTGAAAGCGCCAGACATGTCCCAGCATTTGTTGAATCTCTGGTAAGTGTTGCTGAAGGATTTCGACGTAATATGGTCCGATAATTGACATTCTCGAGTTATGCTTCCGTGGTCTAGTACGTTCAGTTACAATAATTCTGATATCTACTTGCGGCAGTTTCCCAGAGTGTCGAATCTTCTCTCACAAGGCTCTTGATAGAACATACACGTATTTTTTCTGTACAAAACTCTTACCACGACGCGATCTGTTGCTACAAGCGAGTGCGTTTTACTAACAATCTTGCCACTTATGAAGTTTTTGCGTTCAAAAATGTCAACTGCTCCTCTGCGGTATCTCTAACGTGGATCGCAAAGCGAGGCTTGATAATAAAAGGAGACTGCTACATGATATAGATACATTAATACAAATTCGAATAAAAAATTCGTTCGTTTTGCAATTGTACTTGCAATGAAAAACCAGAACCTCTGTAACTTTTCAGCAAAGCCAAGTCTCTTCTTGAAACACATAGATTGCAGAATTATTGCAATTTTGTAATCCTCCGATCGTATTACTCTTGGGAGAAGAAAGAAGGCGGGGAATGCGCGTGGCATTAAGTTCATGACGTCGACGGAAGGTACCAAACCATGTGCCTTGTCTACGATTGCTTCAATGTTCTGAATACGAAAAGGAAATAAAATAATCAGCATATGTCGTTAATCGTCGACAAGGAAGGATAAGAAAGGCTTTAACGCATACATGACAATAAATTACCGTCCGCGAAACGATTTCTTGCATATCGTATGATTCTACTATTTTCGTGGTTCTCAGACTGTAATAAGATAATAAAAATATAGACAAAAGGTAATTAGCCTTATTCAGTAATGTGCGTTGTTTAGCGATTTTTATAAACATAAACAGCACATCTCTGTGTATCCGTGAGTTAGAAATTAACTCAACCAGGAAAAAGAATGCAGTTTGGTAGAGGTCGATTATCTATTCCTCAATGAGCAAGCAGTAAAGGTTGCATTGCTTACCAAGCACTGCCCAATGTCAATGTTGAACATGCAAAATTATTCGATTGAGATCTCATCATCGCATTTATCTCAATAGGCAATGAATTCATAAGACCCAATTCATTGCTTTCCGCACGCCTTCTTCAAATTGCTTTGCCAGACTACATTTAAGCGATTTCTTCGATATCGACAGGAGTAATGCAAGCAACTGTGAGGCAGAAGCAACGATTAGGATAGTAGCAAAGGTTTGTCGCTTTTATGATAGAGTAATTGCAAATAGAACCCATCCTCATACAAACAATACCAACGGAGTCTTCAATACTTCAACATGACCAAGAGCAAGACTGTCCAGTCCTAAATATCCACGTCCAATCAGGCAGAGTTGTTGTGCAGTCATAGATGGATAATTAATGGTGCAAAATGTGTGTGAAGATAATAATAAGAGATTTGGGTTTGTGTAACAGGATAAAGTTAACTTTAACTTGGCGTTAAGGCAAAAATAAGCACCAGAACAATTGTTGAAGGCAATTTAGATCGGGAACGCGCAAGTTTAGACTAACTGACAGTTAAATATATATCATTACACCATTTGACGTCATAGTACCATCAACGCTAGATACTAAACAAACGTTAGAAATTAAACCAACGCTAGATACTAAACCAACGCTAGAAATTGAACCAACGTTTGACACTAAACCAACGGTATTAGAAATTGAACCAACGTTAGACACTAAATCAACGTCGCTAGAAATTGAGCCAACGTTGGACACTAAACCAACGTCGCTAGAAATTGAACCAACGTTAGACACTAAACCAACGGTATTAGAAATTGAACCGACGTTAGGCACTAAACCAACGGTATTAGAAATTGAACCAACGTTGGACACTAAACCAACGTCGCTAGAAATTGAACCGACGTTAGACACTAAACCAACGGTATTAGAAATTGAACCGACGTTAGGCACTAAATCAACGTCGCTAGAAATTGAACCAACGTTGGACACCAAACCAACGTTAGACACCAAACCAACGTTGGACACCAAACCAACATCGCTAGAAATTGAACCAACGTTGGACACTAAACCAACGTTAGACACCAAACCAACGTTGCTAGAAATTAAACCAACGTTAGACAATAATAATAAACAAACGTTAGAAATTAAATAAACAAACGATACAACGTGTTATGTTTCGCGGATAAGTAGCCTGAGATACTGTATGAACTTGAAGCGATGAGTTAAAGTATTCCCAGTGATAAATTTTTCCTTTTATTGGTAACATTCATCAAAGAGGGAAATGTTATACACATGAACCTATCTATTGATAGGTGTTCGAACAAACTACAAGTCTTCTTTATTATCGTCAAACAACCACAAAATTGTTTTATGCCTTAAAACAAAGTGATATAAAATTTTCTTTACTATTTCTGCATTTAATAGTAATCTCATACTCGCTTCGCTTGCAAGTAACATTTGGGCTACCAGCCAATGCGTCGACAATCTAAACATTGAATAACACTAAAGTATCGTCTCGTATACGCCACTATTCAAAAAAATTGGTTTTCCATAACGCAATCACCAATAAGAAATCAGGCTTTGACTGTTATTTTTACGCTACATCTTAAAATGTCTTAGCTCGTATCAATTGTTGTGTCTCGGTCTACACAGAGACGCATTCAAAACTCAACCCGAAGTAATAAAGAAACACCAACGCTTACAGCAAATAGCCAAAAATTGTCAACTTCCCATACGCTTCTATATTAAAATACATTACCTACATAACAAAATAATAATATTATTACAGAATAAATATGTTTAGACATACTATAAACGCGCTAACTAAAATATAATACCGTCAATGTATTATTATTATGTCAATCCTGCCCGACGAATAACTTTTATACTTAGATGTTTTTTCGATTAAGAATACCCGACATGGCAATTTACATAAACTCTAACGTAAACCTTACGGAATTAAAACCGTTCTCAGAAAAACAAATAATAATGCAAAATCCTCAACAACAACAACCACTGAAATTATATCTTATAAATTCATATCCTCTGTAAAAGTCGGAATAAATTAATAAAACTAAACAACTACCTTCGCATTTCATTTAACTACTCGTACTTTACATCAGATGAAATCGGCCGGTAGCACGAGACCTTCCTATCAAAAATTGTTAAACCTCGTCATAAGTTCTAACGAGCAAATCTCGCAACGGTCATTATCAACATCGATAAATTTATTTAGTCTTTTGTTTATTAAATATTAAAGTAGCGTTAGCTGATTAAACATTATTAGACCTGGTCTTAATAAAGAATGTATCGGTAAAAGACTGTTTTACATTATTAGAAATTATATTCGCGCAGGTCTTTATTGCTAATGATATCAAAATCAGGGTTATTTGAAACAAACAAACCAAATTTCAGGGATTTGGAAGCGTATAAATGAATGTCTGATCTATTAACAATATTATTCGTTGTGTCATCGTGGGCGTAACGAGTTACAAAAATGTTAATCGGTGTGACAGCAAATAAATAAATCACGTTATTCACAGTTATATGTTATATAAACACAAGAAGCTTTTTATTAGCTTTCTTATAACCAAGAAATGTCGGTGTCCTTCCTCTATAATATATAAATACATTTAAATCGATTAAACAATCCGTCGAATTCGTCGTAATGGCTGCACCATAACAATCCGAAATTTCATCGATAATTACCTTAGCGAAGCTGAACGCCAACATCTCGCAAACCCACCGTTTCCTCTGACTTGTTAAAATTACCTGCGGCAAAAAACCCAGACCGGCAGAAAACCCAGACCGGCAGAAGTTTTTTCTCCTGCTTGCACAGACTACGAATCGAAACACCAAACTCCAGCGTCGGCAAATTCGCACGTCTCATTCCTCGGAACACCGTCCCTATCGTCGTCGTCTTCTTCCAATCTTCGTCTGTATCACCATCGTTCTCCCAGTCAATATGATATAAGCTCGGTACACCTATCAGTAGTTGTTGTAGCTGAAATATCTTCCAGCATAATACAGCTTGCAGTGTCCGCTAAAACTTCACGGCCGGTTAGTAATATGCCTTCTGTTCTTCGAGATGAGAATTCTGGAAGTTAAGTTTACCAAGCTGGGCGGAAGAGACAACGAAAAATTCAAAGCTCATGTAGATACGCAGAACAATATGTGAATTGGATGTTGGAGAATTTAGAAAGCGGGCTACTGAAGCGGTTAGAAAAGCAATAAACACGACACGTCACTGCAAGATGCCTTTAAAGAAAAAGAAGGTCACCACGTTTG